AGCTGAGAGAAGAAGCTGGAGTGGGAGTCTGTGTGTCAGACAGGGTACTACTGTGTGTCAGTCAGTACCAACCTGATAGGTTCAGGTGTCTTTATGGGTAGCCAGAACTGATAGGTTCAGGGTCTGTGCTTTAATTTAAAGGTGTTCTGTGTGAACCAAACTGGTGTATGTATGATTGAGACTAAGCCACGTTACTGTATCTTATTCACTTGATCATTTTATTTTCCCGGTGTGTTATTTAAATAAACCTTATTCTTTTGTTTGTTTAAAAATCCATTCCTGGTCTGTGTGACTCCTTACAGGGAATGGTTGGTGGCAGCTTAGTGAAACTGTGGCATATCCCAGTAGGTCTGGGGTTGTCACAATCTGCACATCTTAAATTACTGGTGTTTTTTCCACCAATTTTCACTTCTCTTTCATCTAAATCTAGTCTGGCTTTCTGTATATGTTCTGCACACCGACTGATCAGATAAGGGCATAAAATGCACTTTGTCTGACACCTTGCCTATAGGAAACCATTCTGTCTCCCCATATTCTGTCCTAACAGTAGTTTATGGTCCACAACACAAGTTACACACCAGGACAATCAAGTGCTGCAAAATTATACTTCGTGCCTCATGTAAGGACTTGATTTGTTTTCTTATTCTGCAACACTTTCAAAAGAGAAGGAAATGAAAAGGATTTTCATAGGGTTAAATTAGACTTGATAACAACAGCCATATTTATTTTTGTGCTTACCTCATTGATGTACACTGGATTTGTGGCTTATTTTAACACAAAAGGGTAGTACAAAGAAACAAAAGAAGATGATCTTCTATCTCCTCATAATCCTTTGTCCTGGCTTATTTCTCCCAGTCTAGCTTCTATCCTGTATTTAAACTAGAAAGTCTGGTTCCATCTAGGAAGTTATATGATTTGGACCCAAAGCATTGGGCAGGTAAATGAATACTGCTTTAGAAAAGACATAATTTATTTATTCTACTTATATCTCGCCTATCTGGTCTTGCGATGAGAAAGAGAGAAAAACATTGTGGCAAGTGCCCACAGACAGCACATTGGCCACTGTTCCCCACAACATGGAGTACAGTTTAGCAGTAGTGTCACTATTGCAAATGTAAGCCAGGGAGAAGAATATACTATTTTCAGACAAGTAGCCAATAAATTAGGGCTTGTCTACATGGACTTTTTGGGAATAGTCTAGCTCCGGCTAAATAGGGTCACTTAGGGTTGGGTAGAGGTCTAGTATGCCATTTGATGTGATCCTCATATCCCAATAGCATAGCAGATCTCAAGTGACTCTGTTTAGTCAGATTCTTTCTGTTGGGAATTTCCCATATTGTGAAGTACCTTAAGAAGACAGCCATATCATGATATTGGCAAATTAAACACTACTTCTGCTCTGTGGAAGGGCAGAGGAAGTCAATTTGTAAAGAATAAGGGCAGCACAGATATGCTACATCACTTATTTAAAAAAAAAAACTTGGCAATGGATTTGGTTATGGGCAGGTTCTTCCCAACTTTTAAGACAAATCAAAAGGAAAGCAAAGAAACCCTTGTCTCCTGCCTGCTTCCTCCTGCTCCTAGAAGGAAATTTTCTATTAAAAATATATTATGTAAGTAATGCAGTGCATCCGTGCTGCCTTAATACAGTTTTACAAAATCACTTTCTCTGCCTCTTCATGGAGGAAGTTGTAAAACTCCAAGCCAGGGCCAGGAGACTTATGTGGGAGTGCCGTCACTCCCGTCCCGTGCTAATGCGACTCAGACTTCCCCTCCACCTTCTCCACCTAGGAAAGAGAGTAAACAGGTGGATACTAAAGAGCTGGAAGAGATGACAGGAAAAGAAGGGCGGAGACACCAAGGGGTTGACACGAGGGACTTGGTACAGGGGCTGAGAGGGTTAAATTTGTCTGAGAAAACCGAGAGAAATTTGGCGGGAAGAGGGGAGGGGGAGATAGAGGCAGGAGGTGGGGATATAAGGGCGAAGCGGGAAGAGATCCTGGGTGGTTGGGAAATGATATGGGTCCAAGACCCATGGACAGGAAAAGGGGAAGAAATAAAGGTTCCCCATGAGGAAGCAGAGAGAAGGAGACGCCAGGGACAACAACCCCGTCCATCTTATTGGGGGGAGACTGAGGCTAAAGAGTGGCGGCGACGCCTGAAAGAAGAGAGAGAAGTGGTGGCGAGAGAGTTGGAGGCAAAGAAGGCATGGCATCTCACAGAGCTACAGAAGATGGGGGTCTACCCAGACCGTGGTTGGCCAGCCCGGGAGAGGGCTCCCCATTCTGGGGTTGGAGCAGGGATGAGGAGACCCTTCAACTATTAGAACCAGAGATGGATGACAGTGAAGAACCGGTCCCAGAGAAGGTATTATCTGGACCGTGGATATTGGATGAAACTAACCCATTTGTTAGTAATGTTTGGACTCCCTTGCGGTCGAAATTTAGACCCCAAGAGAATTTAGAAACTGTTCCAGGAGATGTTCCAGTTAATATTGAATTGTTAATAAATGAAGACAAAGTAGAACCGTTAAACAAATCTCGTGCTTTATTGACTGTGACTGACCCCCCCAACACCGAACCCTCACAGAAGTGTTTTACTTGCCAATATCATGAAGTAGCTGTCTTCTTAAGCCACATCATATGGGGAATTCTCAGCAGAAGGAGCCTTGAAAGCCCCAAGATCACTAACCCAACCTTTCATATATTTGAAGAGGGCTATCATATCTCCTTGGAGTCTTCTTTTCTCAAGTCTAAACATAAGTTCTTTCTGCCTTTCCACATAGGCTTTCGTTTCCAGACTGATCATCCTTGTTGCCCTCCTCTAAATTTGTTCCAATTTGTCAGCATCCTTCTTGAAGTGCAGTGTCCAGAACTGGACACAGTACCAGAGCTGAACAGAGGAGTACTTGTACCTCATGGGAACTGGAGACTATACTTCTGTTAATGCAGTCTAAAATAGCATTTGCCTGTTTTATAATCGCATCACACTCCTGGATCATATTCAGATTGTGAGCTACAATGACTCCCGGATCCTTGTTGCTCATAGTATTGCTGAGCCACATATCCTCCACCTTGTATTTCTCTGTTTGATTTTCCCCCAAAGTACAGTAATTTGCATTTATCTCTGTTGAATTTCATTCTGTTGTTTTCAGCTAAGTGCTCAAGCCTATCTAGATCATTTTGAATTTTTTGAATTTTATTGCTGTCCTCCAGTATGTTGGCTATTCTACCCAATTAACAAATTTGATTAGCATTCCTTGTACCCCAATCCAGGTCATTAATAAAAATACTGAATAGCCCTGAGCCTAAGGCTGAGCCTTTGGGTACCCCATTTATTACCTCCTCTCAGTCTGAGAAGGCACCATTAATCATCACATTTTGACTACAATTTTGTAGCCAACTATGTGTTGTTGTTGGTTAGTCATTTAGTCGTGTCCAACTCTTCATGACCCCGTGGACCAGAGCACGCCAGGCCCTCCTGTCTTCCACTGCCTCCCGGAGGTGGATCAAAATCATGTTGGTAGCTTCCATAACACTGTCCAAGCATCTCATCCTCTGTCATCCCCTTCTCTTCTTGCCTTCACATTTTCCCAACATCAGGGTCTTTTCCAGGAAGTATTCTCATGAGATGGCCAAAGTATTGGAGTCTCAGCTGCATAGTCAAAGCTATGGTTTTTCCAGTAGCGATGTATGGAAGTGAGAACTGGACCATAAAGAAGGCTGACTGCCGAAGAATTGATGCTTTTGAATGGTGGTGCTGGAACAGACTCTAGAGCAGGGGTCTCAAACATGCGGCCCGGGGGCCATTTGCGGCCCCCCAGATGATAGTTTGTGGCCCTTGCCTTGCCTGCCCCCCCAAAGCGCCCACACATTCTCTGCTGTCAAGAGTAAAAAAAAAAGCCTTGCCTCACTCGCCGGCTCTCTCCCAAGACAGCACCTCTTGCACCCTCCATCCAGAACTGCAGCCTGCCAGCCAGCCCACCTGTCGGCTAAGGAAACTCCTGGGCGGCTTCCTCGGGCTCTTGCTCCACTTGGCGAAAAATCTGATGCGGCCCAGCCTCACCCAGACTCTGTCTCTAGTGGCCCCCAGGTAAATTGAGTTTAAAACCCCTGCTCTAGAGAGTCCCCTGAACTGGCAAGGAGATCAAACCTATCCATTCTGAAGGAAATGAAGCCTGAGTGCTCACTGGAAGGACAGATCCTGAAGCTGAGGCTCCAATACTTTGGCCATCTCATGAGAAGAGAAGACTCCCTGGAAAAGACCTTGATGTTGTGAAAGTGTGAAGGCAAGAGGAGAAGGGGACAGAGGATGAGATGGTTGGACAGTGTCATCGAAGCTACCAGAATGAATTTGACACAACTCTGGGAGGCAGTGGAAGATAGGAGGGCCTGGCGTGCTCTGATCCATCCGCTTCCTCTCTTTGATCAGGTGGTGGGTGGCAAACTCCAGCTACTATGTTCACTTTGTTTTTTGCTTCACCTACATTGATCCAGACGCTCTCAATGGAACATCCAATCTTCTACTCCTATATCTCTGGAATGTGTAGTGTATTTTTGACATATGCTGCAACTCCACTTCCATTTCTATTCTTTCTGTTATTTTTGAACAATTTATATCCCTAAATTGCTGTATTCCAGTCATAGGAGTCATCCCACCACATTTCAGTTATTCCTATCAAGTCATATTTACCTCCCTGAGCTAAGATTTCTAGTTCTTCTTGTTTGTTTTCCATAGTCCTTGCATTTGTATATAGATACTGGAGATTGTGTGACCTGACAGAATATTGTTGTACTTTAAAGATAATATATTTATTTTAGTGTCAGCTTTAACAGATAAAAATCCACTTCTATTTAATAAATAGTAAATAATAAATAGTAAATAGTAAATAATAAACAGTAAATAATAAATCAGTTCATCTTTAAAGTGCCATAATATTTTGCCCTTGTCTTCTCTCTTTCCCTGCTTGTCCCCTTTAATTAGAAAGTAAAATGGAATTTGGGAGTGAAATGGACAGACTGTGAATTAAGGATATAGTTGCAAAGAATGAATTTAAACTGCCATTCTTCAAACACCAGGTGTGGAGGCCTTAGGTAAAATCTGTCTCCTATTTATCATGCTGCCCTTTCATCTGTCCCCAGAAAGATCATGACCACACCCACTGGAAAGACCACTGTTAATGACCCTTAATGACCCATGACAGTGGATGGAGAAAGATTGCAGAAGTGGGATTTTCACTCACCCCCTCCCATCCTTTGCCCATATAACAAGCCTATTCAGACCAGGATGAAGTGAAACCAATGTGGAAGATATGTCAGGGTTCTCCTACCAACTCTTCTCAGGCTGAAAAAGCTACCTGGATGAGTACAGAAACATTTCAACCTAATAAGAAAGAAGCCCAGTTGCTGTGACTCAACTTCCAGATAACTTCACCTGGATGACTGAGAATCTTCACAGAAAACTATTATAATTGAGAGTGGTGGCACTAGGAAATTTTGATGATGGACAGAGAAAAACACCAAGGATACATTTTATGTAAAAAAAAAAAATCCCCCATGATTTTTCGATCCAGCTGCTAATTCTTTAGGTCCTCTCTTTTGGTTTGAGTTTACCTTATTTTCAAGCAAAAAAACATAATCTGAATTATCATTCTTACCTTTACATTGCAAGCCTGTTCCATAAGTCTTCTAGCATTCTCTTCAGCTCTATACCTCTTGGGAAGCTGCACCCTAAAGAACTTCAAAGCCCCTTCAAAATCAGCTTGTAAAAGATCCTCCTTGGAGGTCTGCAGTGAAAAACATTGAAAAACTAATGTAAGTGCACAGTCAGTCATGCTGGCTCTGTTACATTCCTGTTTTATCATGTGCTGAATATTTAGTTATTAAAATTAAAAGGTAACAAAGTGGTTTACAAGACTAAACCAACAAAGTTAAAAAAAGAGAAACCTCACAGGCAAAGATATGCAGGGTTTTATAAGATCAATATTAAAGATCAGTGCTCCTGGAATGCTGCTCTGATCACAGATACCTTTTCTATCTCCAGTTTTGCATGGCTAAAATCCTATTTTGGTTTTACACCAGTGTAATGCAATTGGAATAAATCTCAGTGGCAAGTTACTGCAAGTTAAAAAGCTAGCTTGGACATTTGCTACTGGGCAACAATGCACAACAGCAAATACCTGTGCTAACTCCTTAATCTGAAGCAATTCATTGCTGAGATTTATTTAGAAGTTAATTTGTCAAAGCCTGCCAAGATCGAAGTTTACAAAGACGAAAATAAAAGAATTAAAGATACTGTGATAGTTTCTGTTACTCAGATCTTTAGAATATTTTGTAATATTGATAGATAAGGCTTTGTAAGCCTACAAATGACTGAATAATTTACTAATGACTTCCACAATTAACAAGGGCTCAGATTACCCACATGTGATGGGAAATACTTGAACAAAAATTTAGGTCAGAAAATTGAAACACTCTAACTCAGTGCTTGGAATAAATGAATTGTTTTTAATTAATTGAGCACATTTTATAATTATCTCATGGTAAAACAAATTACTTAGGTAACATAATTTATTTAGGTCCTGATTAATTTATATTTTGCCCACAACTTTAATAGTTTAATGAGTTCTATAATTAATTTTAGTTAATTATAGGTAGAAAGAGTCTGAGCACCAGGATAAGAATAAGGACAGAGATGATCACAGCGACAACTCCATCCCCAGCCAGCTACTGAATTGTGGGATATGTAGGCTAAGTCATCTGGAAAATGCTACCCCAGGGAAACCAACTTATATTATGAAAAGGACCAATTTGAAGGAATAAACTGCAAAATGCTACCAAGACAAATAGTGTTAACCACAGCAACCACTGCTCTGGGGGTTTCCTTAAAATGGACTAGTCTAATGTCTAATTCAATCTTCTGCTTAATTAATTAAAAACTTCACCCATTAATGTCAATCCAAACTAAACCATGTTTTACACTCCTCTAAATAAAATCCTAACCAATTAGACCTTTTATACTAATAGTTCAACGATTGCACCAGCAACAATTAATATATATACACAATGTCCTAAAAACTATGGCATTCTTAGTGTCATAACGCAATTGGCATAAATCTAAGCAGCAAGCTGATGCGAATTAAGAAACCAGTGTGGGCATTGGCTGGTTTACACCAAGTTGCGCTATCTACTGTGCAACAGCAAATGTCTATGCTAATATTTTTAATTTCCATTAATCACCGCTGAGATTTAAACCAACTGTGTTACACCTGTGGGCATAACTAATAGCATTTTTGTCAGTATTTGTTTCAGATGTTACGTAAAGGCAAAGGACAAATACAAATAGTCATGTTGCTAATGGAGCAACTAGATTAAAAGACAAAACAAAAGGACATCTTGTAACTGATGTGCACAGAGGTAAAAGGAATGCCCATTGTTGCACTATACATATAATTGGCCCATTGATTGTGAGGAGTATGAATCAAGGTAAACTTGAAACTGCAGGAACAGTCTACCCCTTTCAATCAAGTATATGACAAACATGACAGAGGGGAGGACGGGCAGGTTGTGTGGATTCACAGATGACCACTTGAAGAATCAGAGTAACAAGTAGCTAACCTCTCTTCTTTGTGGTTTCTGTGAATGCACACAACTGAGTGACTAGCAAGCTGATTTTACTGGAAGCTGGGCCATCACGGGAAAACTGAACCCAACACTGCTTGACCAAATGCAGCACCCACCTTGACCAGGACATCAAGCCAACAGTGAGTGGCAAATGTGGAAGGCCAGGACCATGTGACAGCCTTACAAATGTCAGGCATGTTAACCCTTCTGAGAAAGGCTATAGAGGCAGCAATGGTTTTTGTGGAGTGCACCCAGAGAGGACCTGGAATGCCCGTCTGACTTTATTGGGACAGGAAGCACACTTCTTGAAGAGGCCTGAAGAGGTCATAAAATAGCAAGATAGGGACAAGGGAATGGGTGGTGAACAGAAAGAAAAAAACAGCCTTCTCTTTTTTGGTAGGAGAGGAAAACCCACGGAGAGAAGAGAAAAAGAAGGGACGAGGCCCCAAAGTTTTCTTTCTTTCTTTCTTTCTTTCTTTCTTTCTTTCTTTCTTAAAGTGGCAAATGAAGCTCTTTTGGTGGCAAAAAAGGAACTGAGGTGTTCTCCAGGACAGGTGGAGCATGTGCACAGGGGGGGGGGGGAGTCCTGGCAAACATGTGCTAAAGCTCTGGAAGAGTTTTTATGCAAGCACAGAAGAAACCCATTTGTGTGCATTCACAAAGACCACGAAAAAGAACTGGTATTTCACAGGTTATGGAGATTATAGTTTTGCTAATCCAGCCTAAAACCAAATTATTTTTTTTGTAGCTGCATTGCAGTGTTGGCTACAGGGGGGGGGGGGAGTCCTGGCAAACATGTGCTAAAGCTCTGGAAGAGTTTTTATGCAAGCACAGAAGAAACCCATTTGTGTGCATTCACAAAGACCACGAAAAAGAACTGGTATTTCACAGGTTATGGAGATTATAGTTTTGCTAATCCAGCCTAAAACCAAATTATTATTTTTGTAGCTGCATTGCAGTGTTGGCTCATATTTAGCTTGTGATCTACCATACCAATATTCTGCTCATATGTAGTATTGATGAGCCAAGTAGCCCTCATCCTGTAACTGTGCATTTGGTTTCTTTTTCCTTAGTGCAGAGTTCTGCATTTATCCCTGTTAAATCAGAATCACCGATTGTTGTCAAAACAGAAATCAAAGAGACTATGTACGGTAACTTGAAGTAGCAGATGGAGAAGTTGCATCCTCTCTGCCAAAAGAAGATCAGGAACAGATTGTGTGGTACTTATCATGAACTGAGAATATAAAAAATGAGAATGCAGCTGAACACTAGTTCTGAAGTGTCAACATATAATTTAAATAATATAAAGTCATATAAAGTGTACTAAACTCAATTGTGTCTGAACTAGAAGAACTGTAGGTTGAAATCACAGAGATCAGGAGGGAAGAATGCAAAAAGACTATTCTTGTAATTAAAAATAAATAAAAAATAAAAACCTAGATGGATCACTAATGAAAATATTGTAAAGGACAGACCAGAAGCAAGAGTTTACAGAAATAGGATCATAAACTGAATTGTAAATGGAACTTTCCAGCAATTTGCACATAAAGCCAAAGAGAAATATTACCACAGACCAGTGCAAAGAAACAGATCAACGAAAGAGAAATTCCTGTAAATTCCAAGAAATCAAAGGGAAATTTCAACCTGAGCTGAACTGAAAGATCATCAAGGGAACTTATTTATCTGATCAGGATAAAAGAAAGAGAAGATGCAAACAATATACTGAAGAACTACATTGGGGAGATGCAAGGATGACATATTCCTTTTAAGAAGAATCTTGCGATAAGGATACCGTACTTTTAAAAGGTGAAGTAAACACTGCTCTCAAACCACTTGGAAGAAAGAAATCACCAGGAGTAGATGGAAAATCAATAGTACTACTTCAAGCTAATTTGTTAAAAAAATAGTCCACAGACTGGAAACAATCAATACACATTTCAATCCTGATAAAAGGAGATACTAAAGAGTGCAATAACTACAGGACCATTGGACTGATTTCCCATGCACGGAAGCTGATGCTTAAGGTTTTGCAATGAAGACTTTTACCATATGTAGATTGGGAAATGCCTGATATTCAAGCTGGATTCAGAAAAGCAAGAGATACTACAAATCATATTGCAAACATAAATTGGCTACTGGAGCATACCAAAGAATTTCAGAAGAATGTCTATCTGAGTTTTATGGACTATAGTAAAGCATTTGAATCTAGGGATTCTGGAAAGCTAGGGTTGGTTCTAAAAGAAATCAGTATGCGTCTACACTATATTCTCTTCATATTTTGGCATATGCTGTGGACAAGAAGTTATTGGTAAAATAGAATATGAAAAAACAGAATGGCAATGACTTGAAGTACTTCCTGTGAAAGAAGAAAGTGGCAAAAAAGACTCTAGCTGAGTGTTAAGAAGATAAAAATCCTTTTAACAGAAGAATTACATGACTATAAGGAATAAAATGGAATTGTTAAACATTTCTGCAGCCAACAAAAGAAGAATATTAAAGCAGCAAACTACGGGGGGGGGGGCAGGGAATGTGGGAAATGCTTCAGGTTTGGGGTAGACTGATTCACATTTTTTCTTTGATCACATGATACAAAGAGAAATGCAAATCAGTTCAGAATCCCCTCTCCAAAACCATAGTTTTTCTCTCACCAGCAAAAGCATCCACTTTTTAATACAGTTAATTCACATCCATTCAAGCATGTGATTGCTTTGAATCAATACAGAAAAGTTGCCAGGAATTGTGAGCAAAACACTTCAGCAAAAACAATAGCAACAACAACAACCAACCAACCAAACAAACAAACAGGTGAACAGCATGCTTCTTTCTAAGAAAACACCAACATAAACCGGAATTTTTTCATCCTCAGCACTTTCAGTCCCAAAGTACTGCAGGAAAAGAAGTGCAGGTTGTGTATAGGTGAGAATACCAAAAGAAGAAAGAAACTTGGGGGGGGGGGAGCTAAGAAGCATCTCCTATCATTATCTGAATTTTAAAAAATTAAAAATGTTAGAAACAGTGACAGCAGATTTCCCCCCCTTCTTTCTAGGTAAATCACAACCCCCCCCCTTTAATAGGTAGATAATAAGTTTTTCTATGTGCTGTAAGACAGATTTCTACCCCTTCTCCCTGCTGAATCAAGGTTCCCTTTATCTACACACATGCAAAGTGTTAAACCTAATCTATGTATAGATTCCAATGGCATTTAAACCCTAAAAACTACAGTTTTACAGACTGACTTTTATTTATTTTTAAAACTCCTGCTAGCTAATCAGATGAGAAAACAACAGGGGAAATGCCATTTTACACCTTGTTATGGCAGCTCCTTTGAACTGCGACTCCTACAGGCAAAAAAAAATTACAGTGGCACTGGAAAAATTTATTTCATTGTGAGCTTTTGTAGATTACAGTTGAAAACCAGATCACAATATTTAGCCACAGGCTAAACTATAGACCTGGTGTCCATAGTTGTGGAAGCGGGGACCAAGTGAAGAGGAACAGAGGCTTAGTAATAAACCTTCAACCTGATAGTAGAATTTTCAACACAACACAAATAAGGCATTTTCAAAATGTTTTTTACACAAACATCCTGCTGATAGTAGCCATTTATTAAGCAGTAGATTCATTAATTCAGCGTCTACCACGTATGCATATGGCTGTCTTTGAAGTGCAAATATATTTTTTCAGGATTTCTTTTCATAAACTACAAAATCTACTTAACGAGGAGGAGAAAAAAAAACAAGTTGACTGACCCAGAAGAATGCCCAGAAACAAGCAACTACATGACTGATTGAAAAGAGAAAATCAAAGAACACCACTGATGCCAGTTGAAATCACTTGCAAGTATCATAAATCCACTACAGCCCCTTCTGGGCAATAAAAATTCCCTTTCCCAGGCCTGTGCTCACTGAAAGATAGACCCTCCCCAGACTTAAACAATTACTGATACACAACAGGCATGAATACCAAAACAGGAACAAGACCCAGCTATAAAATTAAATGCCAGCTGTGTCCCCATATCTACTCTGGCAGCACCATAATGAGTCCCATTATGGTGTCACACACAATATTAGATTTGCTTGTTTATCTGAAAATGTGATCTACACTATCCTTTGCCACTAGTACACATCTGCATTCTACATATCACAGTCTCCATGCAAGAGAATAAACATATACAAAAATACAGTACATCAGAAATGGCAGCATACAAACACCACACCACCCTGGACACCCTATTACTTAGTGACTTAAAAATACTTTAAAAAACAAATAAACAAAATAATAATAAAAAACAGGGATTTCAGAGTGAGGACAGATGAAGCTGGTTATATCCACAAAGTCCATCATTCCTCTAAAAAGGTAAATAAACTCCAAGGCTGTTTAGCTCATATATACATGAAAAGACTAGTTTTGTTTATATACTGTACTTGTATGCAGACTAAAGCTGTTTCTTTTTGCAAAAATCTGGCCTTAGAAACAGAAGGCAATTTCAAAAAAAAAACCAGACCCTCCTGAAATAAGAACTATTTGCATTTATGGGACACCATATATTTACATATAGTAGACCTTCCTGTTCTACTAAGAAAAGAGATAAAACATCAGCAATATTCAGGATATATTTCAACACCCATCAAAAGTTTATGGCTTTCTTAGTGGAAAAGGAGACATAGATCTGAAGAAAAAAGAAAGCACTTTCCTCTACATCTTGTAATGTAGACAACTTATACTAACTGATCATTTATATGCACATGAGGGTGATATGGTAAATTAGGTCCTGGAGAGTATAGGTAAAGGTTCCCCTTGACAAATTTTGTCCAGTCGTGTTAGACTCTAGGGGGGCGGTGCTCATCCCCGTTTCCAAGCCATAGAGCCAGCGTTTTTGTCTGAAGACAATCTTCCGTGCCAGTGCGACTTAGACACGGAACGCTGTTACCTTCCCACCGAGGTGGTCCCTATTTATCTACTTGCATTTGCATGCTTTCGAACCGCTAGGTTGGCGGAAGCTGGGACAAGCAACGGGTGCACACTCCGTCGCTTCGATCTTATGACTGCTTGGTCTTCTGACCCTGCAGCACAGGCTTCTGCGGTTTAGCCCGCAGCGCCACCACGTCCCTGTGGGCGCTGCGGGCTAAATAGGTCCCACCTATTTCAAATAGGTTTGAATAGGTCCCACCAAATCAAATGTAAGTAATGGAAATGAAAGCGTGAGAGATAGCACTTTTTGTGGGCATCTGGTTGTGATACCTTCAGATTTTAAAGAACTGTGATAAGGAATTTCAGCAGGTCAGAAATATCAAAAGTTGTGAGCCCCTTAGTATCCAGAAACCATTACTGTATGAAGCCTACTGAAGTATCAGCAAGCAAGTGGACTACGTTGGCTGCTAGTTAGAGCTACTGTAAATTCAATGTGCTAATTTTGACCTAGAAATGCATAAATAGTTTGAAAAACTTGCCATTCTAATATAAATCATCTTCAAATTTGACCTGTAGAGGCTCTCTTGGCCTGCCACCTTAACAGGCTAGGCTTGTGAGTGCATAAGAAATAGCTTTCTTTATATCTGAACCTTGATTAAAGAATTCCCTTTCAAGAAAAAGATAATCTAGCTGGCAGCTATGTTAGCTTGTTTTGCAACAAAAGAGAAACCAGAAATAATCATGCAGCACGTATATGACTAACTAGTTTTTATTTTTCATAAACTTTCATGTGTCTAGCACATTCTTCAGATAAACTGAGCATTTGTGCCTCTGAGCAGAGTACAAAAGTATTGGCAGTTAAAAGCCCTTGGTGACAGTTCTAAGTTGCTAACTGCTCCCTTTACTAATAGTTTAAAATTATATCTTTAACAGATAATATGAAGTTATTAATTCCATCAAAATGGTGGCAATTAGGGTCTCTTTGGGTGATAAAGGCTCAAATTATTAGATTCGTATATAAAATGACACAGGAAACCATTATCTTTGTTAAGGACTAGAAAGACTGCACTAACTTCCCAATGTATTCCCTTCTCAGACTCTCCCTTTGGTATCTGTCCCTGAAGTTTCTTTGTTCATTCAAGGACTACGGCTCTGGGAACAGAAAAAAAAAGTGTCCAGAAAGAGTGAAGTGTTTAACCACTCGTTTTGGATATTTTTATTCCTCATACCTGCTTTGTGTCTATTTGGATAGAATTTGGCCTATCTGTCCTACATAAAACTCAGTGGGACATTGCTGACAAAAATATCATGTACTGTAACATACTGGAAGATGGACAAATGTATGAAGCCCTGATATTATGGACTATGTTATTTGGTCCTATGATGTTGTTTCCTGTATAAATACGTGGGCAGAGCCAGAATCCAGGTTTGCCACTCCTGGGAAAAGAATTGCTGGAACAGACAAATCTCTTATCATAACCCCGGAACACATCAGTGTCCTCACCATGGACTCAGAAGTTAAGGAACCAGTGACACCAACAAAGGTTTGTGCAAAACTGTGGAATTTGTGGACAAATAATCTTGGGATTCTATAGACTCCTACACCCAAGGATGCGACCATAGACCTGGATCAACATTAGTGTCTCTGGAGCACAGTTTTAGCACTGGCCCAGCACACATCTCTTCAAGAACTCCATAATCTCTGTACCGAGTTCACCAAGGCCAGCAGTACACCTTGCTCTTAGAGAAGCAACGAACTGCTAGATTCTAGTCCAAACATATATAACATAAAGGCTTCCTTTTCTTTCTATAAAGGGGTGGGGTCTGAGAGGGTTCTTCAGCAGTGGAGTGTCAAACGCTTCAATCTGGTCTCAGGCCTTCCTGGAACAAGATGCTCAGTTGGAGCTCTCCCAGGTACTGTGATATAGGGTTTGCCTTGCACCCCATGGGCTTCTGCTTCAGGTTTGAATAGAACACACTGATTTGACACAATCCAGGTTTATGTTCCTTTGAGGATTATTGAGGCTGTTCTGGCAAATTTGTAAGACTGTCAAACTGCATGAAATACAAAATATACTATCAATTTCTACATTACAAATATTACTAAACAGGAAATTTATTGGGCAGCAATGGAGTGGGGTTTACTATTCTAGTAAACAAGGAAATGTCTGGAATCACTCATAGGCAATAACATAAGATTTGCTGAATTTCTACCCACATATATTTTTTGAGAAAAACTAGTCTGCAGCTGGTGAAATGCATTTCAAACAGGTGTATCTGACTGATAACAGTGTACCTAATAGATTTTTAGATGTCTGCAAGAGAGAAAAGGCAAGGCAAAGTGATGTTCCCCGTAGCAGCATCAGCCTCATTATAGAAAAACAGCGCTCTACCACTAGAAATATTTGTATGAAATAAGGAAATGTTGGTACCCCACCCAAATCTTGTCAATATGGTGGACTATACATAAGGGTACAAAAACACTAGAATACCTTGTAGTCCTAGACAAACATTCCAGGAGTCAGAAATGGGGAGCATGTACCTTTTATTTTGGACTCACTTTGTGCAAACGTCATTTGGGCATGAAGTAAGCTGAAAGAATACCTATGGTGCAAAGAATGTAAATTTAAAATGCACCAGAAGAGTTTTAGGGAGAAGTTTGATTAAGAGTGTAATAAAGAAAAGCTCTATGTTCATCATCAAACCAAGGACTACATTAAATCACTGAACTCAGTTTATTTGCGTTAACAGATAACTGTTAACTGGACTGTTTAACTATTTCAAAAAAGAGAATTCAGGTTATTTTCTTGCTTCAAGCCCTTTTATTTTGGTCACCTACAAAAACATTTAATTTGCATTAGTACTGCTGAACAACACCGGAGTAACTGTAATTTGCACCTTAGTAGAAATGCTAGATAGTAATGAAAACAACAATAATGTGAATAGCCTG